ATCGATTGATGGTTTCACTTATTATGTGATTTTTGTCGACTTTCACACCAAGTACATTTGGCTATATCCAATGAAAAACAAATATGACATCTCCACTTTATTTCCACAATTCAAATTGCTAGTCGAAAAATATTTTCAAACACCTTTCATTTCTCTCTTCACCGATAATGGTGGAGAATATATTGGACTTTCCGCATATCTTCAATCTCAAGGTATTTCTCATTTCACCACCCCACCGCATACCCCGGAACAAAACGATGTTGCCGAACGGCGTCATCGACACATTGTGGAAACAAGTTTATCACTCCTTCACTATGCTCACCTTCCTCTCTCATTTTGGTCACATGCCTTCCAAACCGCCGTTTATCTCATCAACCGTCTCCTAACTCCAACCCTTAATTTCAACTGTCCATATTTCATTCTTTACAAACAAAAACCAACCTACACCAAACTCAAACCCTTTGGATGCTTATGTTATCCGTGGCTTCGCCCGTATGCAAAATCCAAACTTCACCCTTGCTAAAAAAATGTGTATTCTTTGGCTACTCATCATCTAAATCGGCCTACAAATGCTATGATTACACCAACCGACGACTATACCACTCCCGACACGTAGAATTCATTGAAACCCAATTTCTATTTAAATCTCAAAGTCATTCTACGACCATTCCTACTGTGGGCGACTTTTTCGGTATCCCACCATTCCAGTCCATTCCACAGGCCCAACACCACACTTCCGCTTCATCACCCCATTCTACTCATCCGGCCCAATCCATACACATCCCACCATCAGGCCCACTCGAACCACCTATACCAACCCAACCTCATTCTCCTATTTCACCAGTACACTCCACTACATCCTCCCCTAACAACACTTCTAACTCTCTCACTTCTACCCATTCTCCAAACACCACCGAATCTCACACCACTTCCTCCCCCACCCCACCTTCATCGCCATCTCTCTCTACATCCTCAACCACTCCTCAATCAGATTCATTTGAATCTTTACCCTTACCTTCCCTACTACCCCCGCACACCCGCAAACCAAATTCCAAGTATTATAACTCTACCTTTGTTAACCACACTACCCTCCATCCGATTTCTTCAACACTTGAACTAACAACTCACAATCAAGCCTTAAAAGATCCCGAGTGGCAAAAGGCGATGGATAATGAGTTCAATGCCCTTCTACAAAATGCCACATGGGAACTTGTCCCTCCTTCGCAACATAAACCTATCGGCTGCAAGTGGATATTTTGCATCAAACGGCGTCCCGACGGGTCTGTTGAGAAATACAAGGCTCGTCTAGTTGTCAAGGGGTTCCTTCAAGAACATGGCAAGGATTATTTTGAAACGTTTAGCCCGGTCGCTAAACCCGTAACTATCCATACGGTTCTCGCCATTGCCTTATCTTAAAACTGGCCCATCCGGCAACTCGATGTTAACAATGCCTTCTTGCATGGCACATTACATGAGGATGTTTACATGTCTCAACCACCCGGCTATGTCCATCCGGATTTTCCAAATCACCTTTGTCATCTTCGAAAATCTCTCTACGGCCTCAAGCAAGCACCGCGTGCATGGTACATGGAACTTGCCACATTCCTCCTTGAACTCGGTTTTCGCAAATCCTTGGCCGACCCATATCTGTTCATCTACAACCGGGATGGCCTTATCTTCTATTTCTTGGTATATGTTGATGATATTGTCTTGACCGGCAACAACAATCCTTTTACTCAACATACCATTCGTACACTCTCCGAAAATTTTTCCATTAAAGATCTTGGCATGCTACACCACTTTCTTGGTATAGAAGTTATTAACACCACTACTGGTTTATTTCTCTCCCAACATGCTCATGTGCAAAATTTACTAACCAAGTTCAAAATGGATGGAGCCAAACCCGTGGCCACACCAATTAGCTCTACTGAGTCTCTCTCTCCTGTTGATGGTTCACCTACCACTGACCCTACACCGTATCATCAATTGGTGGGCTCCCTCCAATACCTTGCTTTCACTAGACCTGATGTTTCTTACGCAGTCAACAAACTCTCTCAATACATGCATGCACCAACTCAACTCCATTGGCAAGCCTTAAAACGGGTTCTTCAATACTTGGAAGGCACTATTCATCACGGTCTGTTTCTAAACCGTGGCTCTCCCATCGACCTTACCGTGTTTACCGATTCTGATTGGGGAGGAATTGCCGATGGGGGGCGATCCACAACTGCCTATATTATCTACCTCGGTTCCAACATCATCTCGTGGCATTCATCGCGTCAAAAATCGGTTTCTCGTTCTTCAACCGAGGCGGAGTACAAGGCACTAGCAAACGGTGCAGCTGAACTATTTTGGGTTCAACATCTACTATTAGAGCTGGGTCTATCGGCAACTAAACCTCCTATATTATTTTGTGACAATGTTGGTGCTACTTATCATTGTCATTCGCGTATGAAACACATGGCACTCGATTATCACTGTGTTCGGGAAAAGGTAACTAATGGTTCATTACGGGTTCTACACATTCATTCCAATGATCAACTTGCTGATGTGCTCACTAAACCTCTAGGGTGGGGTCCTTTTCACCGCTTTCGGTCCAAGATTGGAGTCTCCGATGGACCCTCCATCTTGCGGGGGCATATTAAGGAAACTAATCATTGATCATGTATTAATTGTATTTCCTTTTTCTCCTTTAAGCTATATTTAGATAGTTATTGTGATTGATATTATTTATCATAGAATTAGCTGCAGATCTCTATTTACCATTGTATGTATATTGTAAATGGCTATTTATAGTCTTTGTATTTTGTCTAATAATGCAAAAACTTTTTTATTCAAATCAAGCTCTTATAATGACTTGGCTTATGGCAAAAATTACATTTACCACTCGTCTTTGATTTCCTTCTAGAGCCCGGCTTACGAGATTGGGAATACCCATTATTTCTTCCTCTAGAAGACTGTTGATTATCACGGCCTCTATCAACAAATAGGCCTTGACTATGATTATCCTCTCATGGATTGTTATCGATTCTCATCTGAATTCTTTAATATTCAGAAATTATTCCTGTTTTCACATCAGACAAAGAAAGAGTTTATCTTCCATATATAAAACAGTTATTGAACTGAGAATATTTCTCGGGAAGAGAATGCAATAGAATCGTAGCTAGAGCTTCTTCAACTTTAGCAAGAAGCGCATATGTTGCCTTCAACTTCATAATGATATATCTTCGAATTTTGTCATGAGTTTTAATAGTTGTACCTTCCTCCATTTTGAAGAAGAGGTACTACCGCGTCAATAACAACCTGTTAGTCAAGATTTATATTGAAATATAGATTCTCAAGCTTGCTTCAAATACCTGCAGCAGTCTTTTATGACACAATATCATAAATGACATTCTCTCCCATTGCCATATGTGAAGTAGTAAATGCCCATGTTTCCGTTTCTCTAGCCTTAAGTTCAGACATATTAGGGTCTAGCTCATTATTAGCAAATACTACATGATGGACACCATTCTTTCTAAGTGCAGCAGATGTTGTAAATTGCCATTTACCAAAATCATGGTCCCTATTCCAAGTTTGAATATGAATCCCAACCCTATATAAATTAAATGTTCCTTCCTGATATGGCCTTTGGGTTTGGTTTGAGGAACCGATACCAAAAGGGTTTCCCTCATCTTCACCAGGCATGATTCAAGTATAAAAGTATTCAACTAGCTTGTGTAAGTTTTCTATAACAGACTCCCAAGTCTAGATCTAAAGATCTGATACCAATTATAGGGGATAAAAGTGCGATCAAACTTAACAACGAAGTGATTTCTAAGGTCCCAAATACTTGTAGAAATCCAAATGCACGATGAACCCAAACAAAAATACGGATACCAATAATTTAGATGTTGCACAACATGCTCCAAAGAAGATTAAACACCTTCTATGTAAATGACAACCACAGTATACTAGGATCTAAGCATATAACAACATCACAAGCAAGAACACAAGGATTTAACATGGTTTCACTATCAATGTGATAGTGTATATCCACCAAATAGAGAGAGAAAATATTATATTACCACAAAGAAGATTAGAAGTGCTTGTACAATAATCCTTAGATCCAAGACCAACCAAAATTTTCAACTATCAAAAACACCAACTTCTACACACATACCAAAAATGGTAAACAAGCTCTTGAGAGAAAAAGTAGGAGAGGTCTTGAGTGTTGGAAAAAACAAACTGGACAAAGTGGACAAGTGATAGAAAGAGCAAAGGCCTTCCTATATATGAATTAGAAGAAGGACAAAAAGGAAAGGAGAAAGTATGGCCAAAAGGTGTTGGAGTAAAAAAGGGTATGGCCTAGCCTCCCCAATTGTCACCTGGCCAAAAAAATCTTGGGCTAGTTTTATGCTAGTTAAACTAGCGGTGAAACTAGCAATATTCTCTAGACTTCAACTCACAATCAGAGACCCACGCCAGTTTGGGGCGACTTAAACTAGCGATGAAACTCATATAGTCTCTGGTTTGTTTGTTGTGCAACAGCAAATGTGAGAAAAAAATGACAACACGAATAACCTACTACTCGAATCGGCTCTGTTACACTCCTACAAATGACCTTTAACTTTTTGGTGACATCTCGATATTTATGTTTGATGGTCTTCTTGAACCATAATGAAATTGTATGCATTGGTGGATCTTTTGTCCTGTTATCTATAAAAAATAAGATGTTACATACCAAATATTTGTATAGTTAGAAGAAGTTCACATATGCATTTATGGTAGAAGCAGTCGAAACATGTTCCCTGAATCATATAATTACAACATTTTTTTCCAATAACCAAAAAAAAGGTTTTTTTTTAACAAAAAGATAAAGAAAATAATTATTTATTTTCCCATCACGTCATTTAAGATATTATTGATGGAATTGATTTTGGTTGAACAAGAATTGGGTTATCTCTTATTTAGTTTTCACATTGATGTTTCATATATCTCTCACTGAAATCAATTTGCAGGAAAGAGACGGAGTTGATTGACAAAATTGTTATCAGCATCCGTCGTAAATTAGGTGTACGCTTATGTAGTACTCTGCCACCCCTTATCGGCATGGATTATGACATTCAATTCATTACCTCTTGGTTAAAAGATGGATCATCTCATCCTGCTGACATCCTCACAATTTGGGGCATGGGTGGGATCGGGAAAACTTCATTGGCCGAATATGTCTTTAGGTTACAYCGTTATAAATTCCAAAGGAGTAGCTTTATTGCAGATATTAGTAAGAAATGTGCTGAAAAGTTTAGTGGATTGCTTGATTTGCAAAAACAAATTTGTCATGACATTTCAAACACGAGTTCAATTCAAGTTCATCATGTTTCCGAATACACCTYTCAGATCGAGAATGCAATAGCTCGTACAAAGGTGTTTGTAGTTCTTGATGATGTTGATAGTCTCRATCATTTGGATGCATTACTTGGAAAGAAAGGTTTTCTTCCAGGAAGCAAAATCATAATAACGACCAAKGATGCATCGTTGACAGAAAAGTATGAGCTATTCAACCAGATAGTTCAACCTAAGCATACAAAGCACTCATTGCGAGGCTTAAATGATTATAATTCACTACAGCTTTTAAGTTTGTCGGCATTCAAAGCCAACAGTCCAAAGGAAGGTTATGAAGATGTTTCAGATACACTTGTTGASTATTGTGGGGGACATCCATTGGCTCTTAAAGTTTTGGGCAGTTCTCTATTTAATAAAGATGTAGCTGTATGGAAGGATTACATAGAAAAGCTAAAGGAAGAACCTAATTCCAAGATTACAAAAGTCTTGCAAATGAGCTTTGACTCTTTGCCATCTACAGGAGATAAGGAACTGTTTAAGCACATTGCTTGTTTTTTTGTTAGAGAAGATAGAGAATCAACCGAAACAATATTAAAGGCATGTGGGATCCACACAGTACTCGGGATTGAGAATCTCATTGATAGATGCCTTCTTCGGATAAGTAAAGATAACAAGTTAATGATGCATCAATTGCTTCAAGAGATGGGAAGAGATGAAGTACGCCAAGAATCACCAAACAAGCCATGGAAGCGTAGTCGATTATGGTGTCATGAGGAATCATTCAATGTGTTGGAACAAAACAAGGTAACATGCCATACATACTTGTCATCATCACTATAGCAAAATTAGGTTTATAGGACACCAACAACTTCTATGCGTCTTAATAGACTGCTTTATACAGTACTAAATGAAAGACTTTTACCTGGGAAAAGTCTGTCGCTAAAGGGTGATTTGTCACAAACCGTCACAAAAGTTGATGGGTAAATTGTTGGTGGTTCAAATCAGTGAAAGATTACCCAGTGTGGGTGATCAATTGGTATTTTCTCGAAAACATTGACTTTACCAAACTATCGGTATTTTCTAGGTAAAGACAAAAATTTCACTGGGTGATTTTTGTGGGTAAAATTCATTTGTTTTGTGGTGATAGGATTTAATATATAAGACCCAAAAATGAAGTGTGCTACCTAAAATCATTGTAATAAGTATTTATGACATTTTGGGTGTCATAACAAGTTTTTATGACCCTTTTATAAAAGAACATCATATTAGCAGTTTTACAGAACATTATTTGAAAAAATACCTTATACAAATAAATGTACTATAAAAATATGGGTTTATAGGACACTTTCACAAAAGTATCCTATAAAATAGTTAATGTGACGCTTTGTATTTAAAATGTCCTAAAAACTCGTTAAGATGCCCAAAAGTTTCTTATAAATTTATTACGTCTTTAGGTAGAACGCTTTTGTTTTTGTTCCTATAAAAGTCTTATAAAATCAAGTCTATTGGGACGCTTAGAAGTTGATGGCGTGCTATGTAGTGAATTGTGCAAATTGTAAGTAATTTGTATTATCTATCTACACATACATAAGACTTCTTTAGTTTTTTGACATTCACTTTCTTCTTAGGGTTCGGGAAAACTTAAAGGCCTCGTKCTTGACATGGAAATGCTTGAGAAAGAGGACATATGTGAATCGTTTGAGTTGGAAACAGATGCATTGAGTAAGATGGATAATCTAATGCTACTACAACTCAATTATGTGAAATTCAATGGATCTTATAAGAATTTCCCTAAAAAATTAAGATGGTTGTGTATGCATGGGTTCCCTTTAAAGTCTTTACCTTTAGACTTACCAATGGAGAATATGGTTGTGCTTGACATGTCTTACAGCAATTTGGAATCTTTTGACATGTTTTATGGTAACCTACAACAACCTGGGAAGAGGCAAAAGGTAAGAAACTTGTAGCATCTACTTTAATTTTTGTTACTTCTATGGTGGTTTTATGCAGTTCACTCATTATTTTACCTTATCTCCATTTGCACAGTTAAGCARCTCATGCTCAAAARGCAAACARTTACTTCGATCATTGAAGATTCTTAATCTGAGTTTCTGTGAACAGCTTTGGAGTGTTGGTGGATTTTCTGAATTCCCTGCACTTGAGAGGTTAATACTTTCAAATTGCTCAAGTTTGATTGAGGTTTGTGAGTCAATTGAGCAATGTGATGGACTTGACCTCATTGACCTGAGTTACTGCAATAACACTGGCAAGCTTTTAAGAACGATAAACAAGGTGAAGAACGTCAAAATACTAAAATTAGATGGTTGTAATCGCGGTGAAACTACGATCGAGATGAGGGATGACGTGGAGGAAACGCTCAACCGTAACCACATTGGTATGAACTCACAAACCTCTTCCTCTGCCATTATGGAGGCCATACCAAGAGCTTTCGAGTCCTATCTGATTTTTGTACCGAGTTCATTAGTATGTTTGTCACTAGAAGATAATAATTTGTCCAACGAATCCTTTCCGATGGACATGAGTAGCCTATCCATGTTGAAGGAGTTGTATTTAGATGACAATCTTTTGGTTTCACTGCCCAATTGGGTGAAAAGCCTTTCCAGGCTTGAAATACTTAGTATTTGTGAGAATTTTAGTTTGAAGTCATTGAAGCATCCTCCACCTACACTAAAAGAATTGAGATATGGTTTTGATGGAGATGGGGAAGTTATATTTAATCGAGAAATGTCCCCAATCTTGTTAAGCTATTCTCGTTATGCTACATCTTTGGGGGATAATATTGAAGGCATGGTTAAAGAGGAAGATATGAGAGATGTTGAGGAAAAGGTATTACGTAGTTTGGGATGGAGTCATTTAGTTAATTTAGACTTCACTGAAATTCAGCCGATAGAAAGTGGAAGAGTCAAGGTTTGTTATCATTAACTATTTTTGTTTGTGTGATTAATATGTAGATATAATAAATGAAGCTTTTATTTGGCAGATGGTTTATGAATTTGGGATATTCAGCACATGGTATGTGGGGAAAGAGATGCCAAATTGCGTAAGTGATATAAGGTGGGAGGGGTCATCAATATCATTTACCATCCCATCATCTCATTGCAACCTTAGAGGCTTGAATTTCTTCTGCTTGTTTACAAGTGGAGATGATGAAGATTTCTTGGCTTATATTTCAAAAATAAGGATTAGTAATATAACAAAGATGTGCACCTGGATCTATAATGTTTCAGAGGGGTTTCAAGGAATTAGAGAGGGTATAACATATTTAAGCCATTGGATGTTTGGGAAGAATGAGATGGAAGATGGTGACCAAATTGCTGTTATATTGGATGTTAAAGACTTTGTTACAAGGGAGTGTGGGGTGAGTCTTGTGTATGATGAAGATGAAGAAGATGTGTTGGGTTATTACAAGTCATGGAATCATATAATTGGTGGGGATCTCTCTCCTTTTCAAAGTACTACTCCCGGAAAATATCACCTACACCAAATCCGCTTTACTGGTATAGGAACTGGATGGCCTGATTATAATTATATAGGTATGTGGTATTTTTATCAAATAATGTTTGTCATGGTATATGATATAGGTAGTAGGTAGCGGAATAAGTAGTTGTTAATTAAAACAACAATTACTTTTCAGAGCAACAGTAACAACTAACAGCCAAGCTATATTAATTACTAAGTGGATGTAAATATCTTAATGATAACCCATGCAACAGCCTATTAATTACTTCTTATCATCTATTTTTATTCCTCAGATCCGCGTCCTCTGTTTAGAGCTTTCCGTCCAACCAAGTGAACCAACTACCTAAGGTATGATACTTTCTATTCCATTTCCATACACCTTCAATATTATATGTATATATATATATATATATATATATATATATATATATATATATATATACACACACATATATATTTCAGAAAACGATAATATTTTTATATTTGAACAAAAATATAAATTTGAGGGCCACATAGAAATTTACATTGATATTAATATTAAATAGCAGTTTAAAAAGTTCTCTTTTTGTATAATTTTTTGTTTAATTTAATAACGAAGTAGTTTATTTTTGATATAACAATATAATTTTTTAATAAAGATAATAATTAAGTATTATGTTAAAACTCAATGATTATGTAATTATATTTTATATTTTTTATATTTAAAAGAAAATGTTTATCTTGTATTTGATTATATTTATTTGCAATTAGTTACATGAATTCAGGCATGGAGCTTTAATAAGTTGTAATTCAGCACAATTTACTTTTAATTTTGAAGTTTAAATAATATGTATCAATAAATAGTACTTCATACATAAAAAATAGTTTTTAATAATTTTTGTCAAACGTTTTATAATATAGCATAGATATATTCTCTCATACACCATATGATACATGTTTTCATCAAACTTTTTGGTCTCAAGATCATGTAATATATACTACCTTATAAAGCAGATTTTATAAAAATCTTAAAAACAACTTTAAATGCATAAGGTACTATTTTTTTATGCATAAAGTCTTAAAATCTTAGAAACAATCCCTGATGCATAAAGTACCGCAAAATGATGCATAAGTCTTAAAATTGTTTCCCTAAGCCAATGTCCTCTCCAAGAAATCGTTTCCTGCTCCCAAAGCGTCGATTCCTTCTCCAGGGCAACGATTTCTTCTCCCAATGCAGCAATTCACGTTCCTGAAACCATCAAGATGAGTTCTCCATTAATCACTACTTTTCTACTGGGTTCTTTTCCCACTCTCAATGTCTTCTCCAAGAAATCGATTCTTTCTCCCAAAGCGTCAATTCCTTCTCCCAGGGCAACGATTTCTTCTCTCCCAATGCAGCAATTCACGTTCTTGAAACCATCAAGGTGAGTTCTCCATTAATCTCTACTTCTCTGCTGGGTTCTTTTCCCACTCTCAAAGGCCGATGCCGGTGCTTCCAAGACCTACCCTCAGCAAGCTGGCACTATTCGTAAGGGAGGTCACATCGTCATCAAAAACCGTGATTGCAAGGTTTGCTTTACTCGTCGTCTCTCTAACTTCCGATTTATTTTGTTTTCTGGTATCATGTAGTTGGATCTTCTTTTGTCTATGTTAAATCTGTATTGGTGGGGTGAGTTGATTTTGTTTTGACTTCGGGTGTTAGGGTTTCGATTTTTGTCGTTTTGAATTGATTTTTATCTCCAGAAATTTGGGTATAGACTTGCAGTTGATTTTCTTAGGTTTCAAGAGACATGCCGGTCGGATTTCTGAACTAGATTTATTGTATTGAATTTGTATCTTTTCGCTAGGGTTTGGGACCAAAAAGATAGTGGACGAGATGCAACCAGGTTTCTCATTGTCTGTGAATTTCAAACGATAATGCATTTATAAGGTAGTATAACTAAAAGAGTAATCAAACAACCTCTTGGTAACATTGTTTAATATGGTTCAAAAATGAAGCGGTTCAGATCGGTTTGGCGTCCTTGGCGTCTATTTTGTTCATAAGAAAGTCAACAAACGCAATTTCTCCGAAAGGAGAAGGAACAAAGAAACCGATAAGGTGATTACTCTTCTCCTTACCATCATCTCTATTTTGATCTTTAAACAGTAAGCTGGAACTCACTTTGAATTCACCACCTATCATTTCATGATCCCGGTTTTTATTACAGTCTCTGCTTTGGTACTTTTGAAGAACAATCACTGAAAGAAATGACTGCTGTAGATATTGCTGTTTCTGTGCTCGCAAAGCTGCTTGAATACATGGTTCGCCCGATCGTACACCCATTTGGTTATATAGTCCATCATAACACCAACATTAATGGTTTAAGAAGTCAAATTTTGTGTCTTGACAACACTCAATTTGGGGTTCAACAGCAAGTCGATGTAGCTGATAGGAATGGAGAAACTGTTCTTCCAGTTGTACAAGATTGGCTTGCTAAAGCAAATGGTTTGGCAACAGAATATGTAATTGATCCCTAAAAGAATCAGCTAAAAATATATCGATATCCCTAGCTTCATTTCCTATGCTAAAACAACCGTACACAACTAATGAACCAAATCGACGTCTGCTTTTGTTCTCTTCTTTCAAATCGACGCCTTCAACTTGACGCGTTTGGTTCTGTTCTCTTCATTTTGTGATGTTCTTTTCTTTCTTTTCCCTCAAAAGKCAGTCGAGAAGTATCGTAATCTTAATCTATATGATATACCTTATTCTGTAATTTCTTTCAACCAATTACCTGATTCTGTAATCTTAATATATATGATATATTGATTTTGATTTTTTTCAATTGCTTTGCTGTAGTTGATTCTGTAATCTGAATCTATATGATATATTGATTTTGATTTTTTCCAATTGATTTGTTGTAGTTGATTCTGTATTCTGAATCTATATGATATATTGATTTCGATTTTTTCTGTACATTTGTGGTAGAATTACCTTGCTGGGTAG